TTTTTTTTTTTTTTTTTTTTTGACATTTTGACTTTAGGAAAAGGAACAGGCAAACACAGCAGAGAGCTCAGCCTGGTAGGAATATTTAGGACTGGGGTCGCCGCTTGTCTTCTGTGGAGACTGTGCAAGGCAGGCTTGATGTTCAGAGCTCACTTGTGGGATGGCAATAGGGAGGTCAGGGGTTTGCATTTGAAACATTTGGGGGAGAGCTAAAATCAGAAATTATCTGTAAATGACTAAAAAGTACACTTTTCAGTACTACTGATGTGCAGAGATTAAGCTATATCGTTGTTGTTAAATGCGACATTTATAGCAATTACTGTGGCATTTTAAATAAATGTTTTGTGCGTATTAGGATCGTGGTGAAATATTTCATTTTTAACATCAAAGATTGTTGTAGACATGTATTTTTGAGGAATAATGTATAATATATATATATTTGATATGTATATATCAAAGTAAATTTTTGCTTGTTAAAACCTTTGCCATAGAAACATGATTTAGTTATTTCATGATATTTTTATGTCATGTATCTATATGTTCAAAACATTTCTACATATACATAATATAAATACTAAGTTGTTAAAAAACTTTGATTTTAAAGATGCTAATTATCACTTAACACTTGGATATAAGGTTTCTTATAAAAACAATTTAACTTCTCGTTTTAGTTTTCATGATTATTATATTAATTCAACTTATTGAACTTTGCAGTAGGTATGGAAAAGGGAATTTCATAGAAGAATCCCACAGAAAATTAAATTCAGTGGAATAAGATTACAATGTATTTGTGAGTTTTTTATTTAGATCAAAAAGTGTTGGACAAATTCATACATTTATGTCTCAAACTTTAATTTGTGATGCTTCTTCCCAGACTAAAGAGCTAATTTGTCTTTTAAATTGTTTAGCCACTGACTTCCACATATTGAATTCTTGAGTGTGAGAGCATGCTATTTACGTGATTAAGAAATATCATGTCTGTTTGGCTTAGTTTTCATTTTCAGGATTCTATGGGTTCATAATTTTTCTTTAAAACAGATAGTCTTATCCATTTATTCAAGTCTAAGTTTTGAATTGTAGTGCTTTGCATTTCTGTCTTTTTGAATAGTCTGTATCTCTCCTTTCCCCCAGTGGATGTTATTGTTGGCACAGTAGATTCTGGCTAAGTGTTCTGACATACGAATCATGGACTTGTGCCCTGCAGGCTGCCACCAGCTTAGTTCTTGTGGCCAAATTGTGTTAGAACTCAGGGACCTCACTGGACTGGGGCTGCTAGAATCCTGGGATTCCCACATGTTCCTCTCCTTGAACATAGCAGGCTTCGCCGCTGGAGGGTGTGGGGATGGTGTGGGGAGAGCTGGCCATGGGGCCTGTGGGGTGAAGCAGGAAGCCCACTTCTCCCTGAGTACCATGTATAATTTTCTTAAGACTCCAGGGCCAGGAGGATGCCTAGGAAACTTGCGGGTTTCCCTTTGTGGGAAAAGCTAGAGCCTCACAATCTACAATACACATAGAAGAGGTGGACAGATGATTATCCTCTGGATTCTGCTGAGGAGTCCAGGGAACATCTCAGAGGACTGGTGCATAGGAGGTATTTTCTTTTCTCATTTGTTTCAGATGGCGAGGAAGATAGACACAGAGAGGAGCTGTCTGGAGGTGTAGCGGAGTCAGCAGTTCAGACCTGGCTTCTGAGCCATAGCGCGACAGTTGGAGGCTAGGCTGATGTGGGGTGGAGGCTACTGCAGACTCTTCAGGAACACAGTGTCATGCAACTGTTTGCTGAGAGGCCTTTCCTCTGGACATGAGAAGGAATGGAGGGGACTGTCCAGGTCAGGTGACTCCGCATGTGCTTGGTGACCCAGCATGCTCAGGCCCCTGGGAGCCTAGAAGCAGACAGAAGGGGGTCCTAAGGTTGACCACCCCTTTCGCTTATGTGAAAATTGATTCCACCTGATATTTAGTGAACCCAACTCTTTAGCACTCAGGTAATCTACCAGCTCTTCAAACCCATCTGAAAAATGGGCACCAGTGTGTTTTTATTTATTTATTTTTTTTCTCCTGACCCTAGAGGTGGTACACTAACCTCTCTCTAAAGGGATACATCAACAGGAAAGTAATATGGCAGAGCATGGCCATTTCATTCCAGGTGAAGGGGTAATTGGAGTCCGTACCCCAATAATAAACAAGCGAAAATTCACGTGCTTATAACTTGGGGTGAGTGGGGCTTCTCTCAGAATGCATTCAGTCGTTCAGATGTATTGGTCAACAGAACTCAGGAGGGTTACGAGACTGAAGTTCCCTGTGGAGAGGTCACTGGACAAGGTCAGACACTTGTGGACTTTGGGAGCTCAATTTCAAAAAGTTTTCACACATCATCACTTCAAGCTGCCATGACCCAGAGGCTTGGGAAACAGCACTTGGGGTTGAAATCCGGTTCTTTCAATAGGAAGCCCACAGGGTGAAAGATGTTTGGAGGCTCAGGGGGCTGCCTTGTGGGCTGCCTTGTTGAGCTCAGACCGGAAGGGCCACAGAGAAGGGAAAAAAAGCCCCTTTCAGGAAACTGATGTACAGTGGAAGGAGGAGTCAGTCGTGTCAGGGGCGACAGCCGGAGGAACTGAGGCATGGGAGAGAGTGAGGACAGAAAAGGCCTGTACTGCTGGGCGGGCGTGTGAACGCAAGGGCTGTGTGGGCCCCTGCCCGGGAACCAGCATCCAGTTGCCGGCGGCATTGCTAGGTCCACACGAGAAAGAAGCAGGGCAGCACCATCTAAGCCAGAACACCTTGAGGACCCAGGGGAGGCCGGTCCACCTATGTCTGAGGATGGTGGGACACACAAACAGGTGACAGGTGAGCAGAAAAGAAGCCAAGGCATTAAGATGTGCAGAGAGCCGGAGGTAGATCTGTGGCAGTAAAGAGGATGGTAACGCATTTGCACCCCACTCGGGGTTAGGCAGAGATGTCACTGCCTGCCACCCAAGGATGGGAGTGAGGGCCAAGTGAAACCTTAGACCTGCCCTATCATACCTGATTTAGGGAAATTTTCATTCCTTCTCTAAGTTCTTTGTGGTAGATCTCCTATTCCCAGGTACTTAAAATGCCCTGGTACTTCTGGAAAAAAAAATAGAACTTAGAGAAGGAATGAAAATTTCCCTAAATCAGAACGCAGATTTGCCAGCATTACCAACCAAGTGGGTCTGTTGAGACTATCTGCTGGAAGCTTCCTGTGCTGTTACTCTAGCAGGGGCTGTCTGGACAACAGGTGCCAGGCCTGCAGTACTGTGTCTTGCCTCTGGGCGGCAGCATTGTGCAGTGTGCTCCTCCCTGATGGAGTCAGGTGGTGAGAGAGGGTGAATTGTGCCTGGTAGGGTACTCAGATCTTTTTGGACGCAAACAACAATTTAACCAAGATGGTTAACTAACAGGTCATGTTGCAAGGGCAGGCGTAGGGAGAGCAGATGCCCCCCATGCCAAAGTGAGGGTGGGACGATGAAGCTTGGAAAACAGATTGAATTGCTTCAGGGAGTTTCCAAAATTCTTCAAACCGAAAGGATTTGCCTAGGGAGAATCCTGTGTAGCATAAATCCAAGCCACACCACCTGCTGTCAGCGCTAGTGCCCTAGTGGTCGCACAGTCTTCCCTTTTTATGTGCAGGCTTAAGAATCTGGAATAAAAGAGGGTCTTCTTGAGTGTGGTGGGGCCGGCCCTCCCCGAGAGCCCGCTGCCTGTCATACCATGACGCTTGCAGGGCCATGAGAGTAAATTAGAAACTCTCCTCCCAAATCTCCCCCCAAGGGGCAAAGCCCAGTCGGTAGTGGGTGACCATGAGCAGGCCCAGGGCAGGCTGTGGGTGGGGCTTCACACACCCTGGTGTTTTGTGTGAGCGGGAGCAAGTGAAACCCACAACCTTTGCTCTCTGGCAGCCTGAATTCACATAGCCTGCGCATGGCACGGCCTGAATTCCCAGGGAGATGTGTCTGCCACTTGACTGTAGGGCACAGGGTCCCGGGCAAGGGGGCTTCCTAATGTAGCCATGACTTATGTGCGCTCCCCAGAGTGGCCAGGGCCCCTGAGTGACCAAGTCTAGTCTCACCGCCTGTTGCTTCCTCTCTCTGCAGAGCCTGTGAGTCTAACTGTGACTGTCCCAGCCCAAAGGAGCTGTCCTATCTCTCAGCTCCTCCTGGGGCCAAGTGCTGGAGAGCCCCAGCGCCCCGAAGACAGTCTACCTTGCTTAGCTGGTCCAGCCCTTGCCATGTAACATGGCTGAGGGAGAGGAGGTTCTGCTGGCCCCAGGAGCTGAAAACAGATGGTGCATTAGTAAACCTGTGCGGGGCAGGGGCACCAGCCAGTGCTGCTGGAGAGAACAAACCACTTCAGTCCTGAGGCTGCCCTGGGCAGGGGCACCCAGGAAACAGCTTGCTCTGAGCTGGCACTGTCTGCGACCCCCAACAGTCTCAGAGGGGAGCAGTCATTGGCCCAGGAAATGTCCCAGGAACAAGGACGGAGCACCTTCACAGAGGTCCCTCAGCTCAAGAAGAGGCAGGTCCAGGAGAGGGGACACGGTGGCCACCAGCAGCTGGTCCAGGACGTCTCCAGTGACCCAGCTGGCAGCACCGTCTTTACGTGGCCCAGCGGAGCCGCAGGGCAGCGGACGAGCGCCTTCAGCAAACCAGCCAGGTGTCCGGCAGGGAGACCTGGGTCAGTCTCTGTCTTCCAAACATGTGGATCTTCAGATCCCCTGGGGGAGCTGTTGGGACTCATCAGTGTGGCAGGCAGTCCGTGTTGGCGCCAGCTTTCACGTTCTAAGCTCGCCGCGGGTGATATGTGGAACTCGCAAACACCGGCACCAAATGCTCCTCTCTGTCCCCCTTTCCTGGGAGCCTCCATGCTGTGGCTCAAGCACACTGTGGTGCAGGTCCCCATGGCCTGGTCATCTTCCGCCACCACCTCGTGGGCCCTCCTGCCACCCACATTCTCCTCCGAGGGCCTGTCCACCCAGAATTGGTGTGCAAAGTGCAACCTCTCCTTTCACCTAACCTCTGACCTCGTCTTTCACATGTGGTGCCACCACAAAAAGGAGTTTGCGGGGTCTGACCCCCACTCTAAGAAGCCAAGAGAGGAGGCCCTCACGTGCCCCATTTGCCACGAGTACTTCCGGGAGCGCCACCATCTCTCCCGGCACATGACCTCTCACAGCTGACAGGTGACGTGCGGCAGGTCTGCAGGTGCGGTCCCGCGCTGGCCGGGGGGGCAGAGATGAGGGCCACCTGCATTTCCTTTGCAAAGGGCGTTCCCACAGTTGTCTCAAGTGCCGTCCCCACTGGAGCTCACAGATGCACATCTCTTCGCCATGGTTTGGGTAGGGCCAAAAAGGCCCTGTGATCTGCTCTGATGTAAATAAAGTCATGAAATCAAACCATGCACGTGGCTGGTCCAGTCCCCCTGATGAGGGTGACTCTAACATCAAAAAAGTGGGGGTCTTCTTCTGACATGGTTCCTTTCACCCTGGATGGAAGCACATTTGGCCAACTGCCTGGGCTTGGTGATAGAGAAATCTACATTCAAATATTGGTCCTGTCACAGACCGGTCCTGGTCTTGGACAAAGTGCTTTAACCACCTGAACTTCCTTTTTTTTTTTCCTTGCAAAATGGAGATGATGACACCTGTGTCAGGGCTAAATGGGATGATGCGTGGAAAACAGCCGGCTTAGCACTAGGCACAGCATGATCCCTGAGTAAATGACATTTATCATCACTGCCTGGGGTAGTCAGCTACTGTTACGTAACAAAAATCTCAGACTACTCTGAGATTTCTTCTAAGAAAGCATTGATTTCTTAACTCTGGGCCTGTGACTTGATGGGCTGAACTGGGCGAGAAAGGAGAGGTCTACTGAGCCATGTGGGCCACCTCTGGGGCCGGGAATCAAACTCGCACTGAAGCAGCTGTGGCTAGCTTGCAGTGTGGTGTCCTAAGTCATTGACCCACCAAGGAGGTTCTGATTCTGCCGCTCTGTGACCTCTGGGAAGTTTCTCACTTAAGCCAAGTGAGAAATGCATGTAAAGCAACTCACAGTGTCAGAAAAGGACTCAGTTAACACTGTGTCAGAAAAGGACTCAATTAATGCTAAGTTCTCCATGTTAGCTATTATCTCTGCTTTGCAGCTGAAGTCTAACTAACTGAAGCTCACCATCTAGGTGGAGGGAGCATGGGGGTAGTGAGAAGGAGCCATGGGGTCATGGACTCAGAGACTAAGGTCACCATCAACTTCAGGGCTTAAGCTTTATTCCCATGTCCAGCTATTACCTCCTGGAAGTCAGAGTGGCTCCCTATCGCTTCCAAATGATACGATAACATGCCGGTGTGTGCTGTGGTGGGTGGGACGGGTACCTGTCCTTCATCACCATGGGACCAGGGACCCTAAGTCAGAGGAAGCTAACTCTGCCACCTGTGCACTGTCCTGTCTCCTGACTAAGGAAGGCCACTGCTACCTGTGGGCTTGGCCCATAGCTGCAGCTGGCACTAGGGTTTGGGTCTCTGTGGTCCCAGGCTTCACAGGTGACCAGATCAACCTGTCTGAGGACTTGAGTCAGCCCACAGGAAACGCTGGACTCGCACTCTTTGCTTCTGCTCAGAACACGGTTCCTGCTTGCAACTGACTTGCCACAAATAACTGAGAATTCTTACCAATGGGGGTGGGCATCTCCTTCATTAAGTGGAGGGGGCAACTAGGATCCAGAGTGTGTGCTCATGGCCAGAAGTCCTGCCAGAGCGGCGGGCCCACTTGCTGTGTACCGTGGTCCCCAGCAGACACCCTGGCTGTGCAGGCGTGGCAGCCAGTCAGTCCTCTGCAGGCAATCGGAGGTCAGCGGCCTCTGGACACAGGTGATTTCTCAGCACACTGGACAGCCACAGTCTGTTCTCTGGAAACCATTATCTGAGGATGTTTATCCAGTGGTTTATGAGGGTCAAAGAGGTCAGGTTGCTGAAACAAACATATTTTTAGCTCATTAGGATTTGTTTAATGGCCAGGTAACATATGGTCACTTCATTCTGTTGTCTGCATCAGTGAAGTGAGCCTGAGTATTTCAGTAAATAAGGCCGCCTTACCTCCCCCCCACCCACTGCCAGGAAGACTGGGTCTCATCCGCCACCTGCCCATGGATAATCACAGTGCAGAGCGTGGCTTTCTGGGCTTTTCATCATCACTGAGCCCAGGTAGAACCTCTGCACAGGAAAAATCGGGGGGTGAAGACAGCCAGCAATAATTAATGTGTCTACACTTTTTATTAAAAAAGCTAATATTATCGATCACTTAGTATACTGCAGATTTTTAATTTAAGCATAACTTTTACATGCACCACGAAATCAAAACATTAATTTGACTTTCTTTTTATTTATTAAAGATTTATTTATTTATGCATACAGAACTGGGGTACAGGCCAGAGATGCAGGAGGTGAGAGGATTCACCAGAGACAAGAGTGTGGAGCAGAACAGGTAGATTGATGAAGTACACTGCTGAGGGGAGCAGCAGACAGGACAGGAGAGGTCTGCCGTGCCATGTGGTTCAGCTCCCTGGCCAGGAACGAACTCATCCTTCAGTGGCTGTAATAGCTTCACAGTGCTGTGCTTTAACCCGTTGCACAGCCAGGGAGGACCTTGTGACTTGCTTTATTGTAATATCTGCTTTATTTTTGTGGTCTGGAACTAAACCTCCCTATATTGTTTTATGTTTTTTCCCCCTCAATGTTCACTATGGAACTTCTTAAGTAGTGTAGTGAATATTCTTATACTAGATAGACAGAATTAACCATTGACATTTCATTGCCTTTTATCTATTATTTATTATCTCATCTCTGTCTCTCCAACATGTCTAACCAAAATTCCGTTTTGGGGGATGCATTTCAAAACAAGTCCATTATTGCTATATTATTTTAATCCTTTTTCTTAAAAAATAAATAAGTAAGGCATATTCATTTTCACAAGTTAAATAACTCCTAAATGTGTAACAACCTTTCCCCAAAGATTCTAACTCAGTCTTCATTAGTAACCAATAACAACTGTTTAAAGTATAACTGTCTCCACTCTCTCTGGTCCTAAGTGGCAGCATAGGGGAGGAGCTCTTTCCATTTGTCTCTGTACTTCCATCCATCCATTCATTCATCATCCACCCATCCATTTAACATCATCTTATAATAGCATACACCTAAATTTTCATCTTGTTTTACTTAAACATATACCTTTCACAAAAAAGTGAATCCTTTTAATGACCGCATAATAATCCTATATAATTTACTAATCTGTTCCTCTCGTGAGGAATATTTAAAGTTGTTTTGTTTTTGCTTCTAGAAGCAATATTGTGATAAATGTTCTCAAACACATGTTCCTGAGAGCTGGTATTTCTTGTTTCTGTAAAATGACTCCCCAAATATGGATTTGCAGAATTTTTTGAGTAATGTAATAAATAATGTTTACAATACATTATATAAAGAACAAAGAACCTTTAAAAAGTTATGTATTAGAAACAGGTTGTATAATGTTTATTTTCTTTTTGCTACTTGATATGTAATTGATATACAATAAATATCTTTTTATTGCAGTAACATTGGTTTACAACGCTGTGTATGGCTTAAGTATAGGCTAACACCTGTAGGCGTACATTACCAAACCACACACACCACCAAGGCAACCACATTCCCCCTGACTTTTTCCCCCTCTTCTCCATCCCTCTGGTAGTGTCAACTCTAAAGCAGAATTCTAGGGTTTGTTACTTGTTCAGCTTTATCTGACCTTTGGTTTTTTCCCCCGCTATATTCCACATACAAGTGACACTGTCTGGTATTTGTCTTCCTGGCATTTTGCTTAGTATAATCCTTTCCAGTTCCATCCCTATCGTTGCAAAGGAAACAGCCCATGTTTGGAGTGACTTTGACATGCATGTACGCCTATGACACTGTCTCTGCAACCAAGATAATGTCTACATTGCCCTCATCCATGATTTCTCCTTGTGCATCTTTGTTCTCCAAAAATCCCCATCCCGTGCATCTCCAGCAGCGCACACTGACCTGCTTTCTGTCGTCACTAAAGATGTACTTCCTAGGGTTTTATATATATGGAATTATACGATGTGTACTGTTTTTGTCTGTCTACTTTCTCTTGGCATAAGGACTTTGAGATGCACCTATGTTGTTAAGTGAATCATCAGCTTACATTTTATTTTATTGCTGAATAGTAGTCCATTCTACAGATACACCACAATCATGAGCCACTAACAGGCTGATATTTCTTCCTTCCTGTGATAGTTCCTTTCAGCAGGTAGCTATTACAAATAACCCTGTTATGAAGATTGGAGTATACTCTTACGTTTGAACAAAGGTTTTTGTTTTTCTTGGATCACAATGTATATTTAATGTATATTTAACAGCTTATTTTACAAAATTTCCAACTATCCCAATTGCTGGAAAGTCCTGCTATAGACGTGGAAGGAGAATTGGGAGCATTTTTTTCCTTGTTCCCATGTCTCAACTGACCATGTTCACAGTTTTGTGCTATGAAAGAAAAATGGTAATTGAGTCCCAGAATATAGACTGTTCTCTTTCGGAGCTGTTGATAGTCCAGAGAGGACATCAATCAGGGGGTGTGGAGGCAGAAGGGAATTGAAATGAAAGTGCAGCTCTCACTTAAGCCTCCAAGAGGCACTGCATATCAGGCAATGAAACCAAGTTGGGAGAGGGGACTTTAAACGGGTTTGTTCTGAGCTATCAGGGCGCAGAATGGTGACGAAGTTCCTATGAGCAGTGAGTATGATGCCCACTTTCGTTCTCTGCAGAATGGAAATCTCTAGCACGCACGGCTGTTCTGCCTCTTGCCTACAACTAACACCTGGGTGGTGGGCGGGGCACAAATTATACAAACAATGAGCATGCGCCCAGAGACGACGCGGGAGCTCCTTGGAATGTATGATTTTCACAAATAAAGACGAGGTTTGACTCTGGAGACAGTCGTGCAGAACAAGTGATTTCTTATCAGGATTGTGAGGACAGCAGCCCAACCCTGTGCTCTGTGAGCAGCATTTGTTCACACAGATGCCTGCTGTCACAGGACCCATTCACAATAGTGTCCATGCTTCCTCCTAATCACACACACCCCCCTCCCCCCCACTTTTGTGCATAAGGAAGCTGAGACTCAGAACTTGCACAAG